TTCTCTCTTGAAAACCTGAGAAAGTTCCCCGAGGGTTTAAATCAAGAGGTACAGACCGGATGACACCACCGTTCAAATCGGAGAACAAGAAGGCCAGGAAGACGATAAAGAAGAAGGTTGTGAAACTCACCAGAAGACGTCGGAAATGGAGTTTTTCAGGAAAAACTTTGAAAACGACTCGCACCGGAAGGACCAGGAGTCAACAATGGGTTTACTGACTGTGATTTTTAAGAGAAGATGATGTCGATGGTGGCTGAGGAAACAGAAACTCCGGCGAAAGCAGATCAGAAAAGGCGTATTCTGGGTCAGAGATCGGAATGACAAAACAATGGAAACCGGAGAAGAACCCCCTTTATATAGGGGGGAAACTGTCATCATTGGGCGGGAGAACCAAAACGGCGCATTTAATGCGCACGACATCCCAAGACGGGGAAAGCTGCTCGAGGCCATGATGAAGGACGGATGGCAGTTGGAAAACCCTTCGTCTCCTGACAACGCGTGTCCTCGGCGTCAGAAGATNGTTTTCTCCTTCCTCTCTCTCATTCAAAGACTGACTAGACCGTCGGAGGGGATACGCCGGAAAACACTCCGGCGCCCTTCTAACCTGTTCTCTTTTGTTCAGGAAATACTTTTCGCACGTACAGGATCGTTCCTCCTTTCCCAGGATCTTCCTTCACCGCTCCAGGTTGCCACCGTTCCTTGTAGGCTGTTTCGAGCAGTGTGCTTGGCCACTCAACCGGCTCACCCAAAGTTCATCAGGGGAGAGATCTGTTCCCAATATCTTATATATCGTGCAGGATCAAGCCCGCACAATCTGGCGCCGTCTGTGGGAAACGAGTAGTTTTCCTAATCTTTTCTCTATAAAAGAACAGTGACCATGGTGAACACCAGACAGAAAGGGAAAGGACCCCATCAACGGAGTCATGAGTTGCAAGCTCCCTGCCATCACGGAGGGAGGGATCGCACCAGTACGATTAAAAGTGCCTCTACTCGGTCAAGGGGGGTAACCCCTCAAACCAGTATGGGTATCAGGTCAGGAGGATCAGCCCCCTTGGCCCGTCAGCTGGCNTGACATGTGTCCTCGGTCACCATGTACCTCGGGAACACACCACCCTTGGTCCCCCGAGGTGAGCCTTTCCTCGGCACCGAGGGTCACTCCATCCTGGACGCTTCCCCTGCTCCCGGACAAAGCTACTGACAAAACCGGACATCAGCCTATGCCAGTATGGACTAGTCATCATGAGCTCTTCTTACACAAGTAATGTCAGAACGTGCTGGAATACCGACGTAACGGCCAATAAGGGATGGACGTGTGACAAATAATGTCACATCCGAAGCAGACAAACCGCATGCCGCTGCTGGCACGCGACTTGGGAAAGCAAACAATTAATTACACCCTTCTGTTGACGAGACCGCATTTAATGCGGTAAGGTTCGGATATGAAAGGCAATAAATGCTCCTATTACAGAGCATTTATTGCATCCTTCCCGAAAGGAGCATATTGTACCGTCGGCGTCCCGACAACTCACCATTGATTGCTCGGGACCCCGAG